GAGGTTGTTCGGCCATTAGAATTCTAAAACTCAGCGCCCTTTCCTCCCCTTTTATACCCTCCTCCCTCACAATCAAATCCAGCTCCTCCCCTTTCTTGTCAGCCAAGCATACCTCAAGTGACTCTTTCCCTTACTCTTTCCCCTGTTCTGTTTTTACCAATATGCCCTCCACACAACCAGGGCTCTCCTCTGTCCTCTGCTCCATGGAGGACGGCACACTGGCTCTCCTTCCTTCACAGCTAGCAACTCTCTTTAAAATATATTTCTGTTCTAAACAGAATGAACCCAGGGCACTGAATTATTTGGGTTTCGTGTTTAGTTTTAATGGACTTTAGCCTGACAATTAAATGCTTGGGCTGACAAACCCATGTAAAATTAGCATTGAGGATCTTATCAAAGAGTGAACATGATGGATAGATGGAAAATGTTTTCTGCAAGTGTAAAGTCCTCTCTTTGCTGTATAGGAAAATGTAAATAAATTTTTAAAAATTAGCAAGATGAAATGCATACCACAGAGAGAGAAGGATTTGGTGTGGTTCTTGTGCTATGTACAGTATATGCACCACAATTTTGTGCAGCTCCTGTAGAATTTCAGCATGTCTCTAGGGAATCTTCTTACTCTTATTCGTTGCTTTAGCCCTAAACATGGAAATAAATACATTTTGGGCTGTTTGGCTGTGTTCTAGAGTTTTTTCTTCCTAATGTTTCACCACTTTCTGTGGCCAGCATCTTCAGAGGACAGGAGTTAGAACTCTGCCTGTGAAGGCATCAGATCCCGTCCATGAAAGCCTTCGAGAATACATTGAAATAAATACAATTACTCAGCCTCCCTGCTCAAAACAAAAACAAACGTATGTGGGTTTCTGATAGCAACACCACCCATTCCGGAATGGCTGCTCCTCTTCTTGAGGACCAGTGGAAAGGGAAATCTGTACTGCCTCTTGGGAGTGGATAATGTGGCTTTTGATTGGCTAAGTGAAAGCGTCTTTTCCTGGAACATAAAACTCTTATGCAGCCACTGCGGACTGGAGCCAGAACTGAACTGCAGCATCTTTTCATTCTGTTCTTCCATTGCCCAACTAAGGCAGCAGATAAGCAGAGTGGGCTGCAACAAATCGCTACTTTAGGCATACAGTACAGGTATCAGTAACAAGCAGACAACTGAGACCAGAGAAAAATTACTTTTTGGAATACAGTTCATACAATACCCAAACCACCATGGGTGAATACCAGTACTGTTTAAAGTATTTTGAGAATTGTACGCCAGAGAAGTAATTTTTTCCAATCTTTGGCAGAGTTAACATAGGATGTTAGAAAGAGGCCTTTTTAGAGAGCTGCATTTGAATCATCTGAAGAATGTTCCATCTAACTTAATATTAATATGAGCTGGTCCAGGTTTTAAACTTATCAGGGGAGGCTTTTCTTTGGGTCCCGTTACCCTCACAGGTCCATACGGCGAGGACACAAGAAAGGGCCTTTTCTGTTGGGGCTCTGACACTATGGAACTCCCTCATGCTGGAGACCAGGCTGGCCTCCTCTTTGCTGTCCTTCTGCAAGGAGGTAAAGACTTTTCTCTTCAGGCAGGTGTTTTCTTAGTAACTGGCTGCCTAAAAGGATTTTAAAAAAAACAGGCTGTTTTTTGTTGTTATTTACACTGCTCTTTTGAATTGTATGGGTCTGAGCAGCACAGTTTTGGTTATACATGGATTGTTTTTAACAGACAATCAAACATTTCATTAAATAAATAGGTAAATATTTCAACAAATAAATAAAGAAGTATTCAATAAATACAGTGTTGCCATTTGTCTCCATGAAGTGACCTGAGAAAGGCATGTGTGTGTGTGTCTGCATCAGTGTGTGTCAGTCTTACCAAGGCCCTGGGTGCAGTGACCTGAAGTCTGATGGTGGGGGCTTGACCAGCCCTTCTCCCGGCATGGTGACCAGGGAAGATGCTGGGTTATGCCAGGAGGCTGGCAATGGTTGGGAGAGGTGTGTGTGT